GATGAACTTTTTTCAAAATTTGATGAACTTTTTTTCAAATTCGATAAACTTTTTTTGAATTCGATGAACTTTTTTCAAAATTTGATGATCTTTTTTTCAAATTCGATGAACTTTTTTTGAATTTGATGAACTTTTTTCAAAACCGATGAACTTTTTTTGATTCGATGAACTTTTTTAAAAACCGATGAACTTTTTTCGAATCTGATGAACTTTTTTTGAATTTGATGAACTTTTTTCGAATCCGATGAACTTTCTTCGAATTCAATGAACTTTTTTTGAAAATCGATGAACCTTTTTCATTTTTTTGAAACTTTTCTTAAAATTTGATGATTTTTTTTTAATTCACGTATTCTTTTTTGAGATAATTTATATTGAGTATATATTAATGTTTTACTGCATGAAACGGCTAACTAGCTCTGTTTTCTTGTAGTCGGCAGCAAAGTTAGTTTGGTCTAGTGGTTGGTGAGGTGCACTCGCAGCAATCCAGTCCTGAGTTCGAATCCCCAGTAGTCCTCACTTTTTATTGCTTTTTCACTTCAACACTCGTTAACGGGCGCCTGCAGCGCTGACTAGGAGCTCCCCTGACTAGGAGCTCCCCCTCGCTTGGTCTCAGCCGACGCATGGATGCAGGTGATAAATGGGCCAAGCATAGATCGCTCTGTAGTTTTGTGAGTTAGATAATGGGCCGTTGAAGCCCAATCAACCACATGCCTTCAAAAAGATCTTCAGAATAGCTGCCCATTAGGACAGGCGGCCCATTCGTGGTAAACTGGCATGAACAATGATCTAACGGCCAGAAAACAATCTAGATGTGTAATCCAACGGCCGGAAACGTTGAGGGCATGAGAAAGCTCGCTTTCGGCCTGGTTATACTGTCCTAAACTAGATCATTAATGGCGCGCGTTGCTGCGCCCGTCCATTCTTAATTTTGTTTTTAGGGACTTGAAGTAATTTATATACTTTGTTTGCAATGCTTTGATGTATTAGTCTTCCATGTAGGTTATTTTTGTCTCCACTTGATTTTTTCAACACAATGATATGTAATCGGGACTCACAAAAAAAAATGATATGTAATAAGGGAGAGGAGCCGGTCAATCTACAATAATACTATGTAACTACAGAGAGGAATCCAGTTGGTTTGCAAGAAAGTAGTGTGTTCCAGGAAATCCAGTTTGGCTCTTGGGAGTATATGCTCCTGCGCCCAGTTTTGTTCACCCGTGCAAAAAAAAAAGTTGAATACCGAATTTTACACTTAATTTTAGTTTTCACCAATGAAGTACTGCTATCCCGTTTCGCATGAAAATTGTCAAGCACACTTGTTACACTAACAGGAACACAGGAGCATGTACACAAGAAAACTTAATTTTTCTATTTTATTTACTATTTATTTTGAATTTACTATTCATCTGAGAGCACATGCAGACGTGTTGGTTCAAGTCATGGTATCAAGTGTATGGGATTTAAATTATGATGGCTGATGGGAACATGTTTTGTAATTGATCATCTACTGTTTTGGCTCCCAAAATAACTCTATAGCAAAATGTTGCGGTAATTTGCAATACAAAGTTTGAGAATGGTAGATACATCATGATAAATAGGTTGTGGGTAAAGCAGCCATGAGAACAATATAAAATAGTTCTACATACATATCTTTACATCTACTCCCTCCGTTCCAAAATAGATGACTCAACTTTGTACTAACTTTAGTACAAAGTTGGGTCATCTATTTTGGAACGGAGGGAGTAGGAACAACACAAACTCACAAAATATGCAGACCGGAAACAGAAAGAAAAGAAAGCACTATGTACTGATTAATTAGTGTAACCTCACTCACGGTCAGTTAGGACGTTGTTAAAACCACCTTTCAAGTGTCAGTATATGTGGTTCTTTCTGCAGAAAGATACTGACATGTAAAGCAGCTTTCATATGATACAAGTTATTAATGAGAAAAATAAATAATGATAATGCTTGTAAGTTTCACTGAAAATGAAAAGCTACCAGGTAACAAAATACTGAGAAGGGTAGAAATATTATAAATACATAGATTATAAACAAAAATAAGATATAGTGCTGGTGTTACCATATTTAAATTTGAGGTTTTTCCAATTATTAAGAGAGAAATGTTTAGGTACAGTAGCACAAGAAATAAAATTCATACAAACGATGTTAACATCATGTCTTATACTCACATTTGTTTGATTCCTCTTACCTAGTTCCTGCAGTGGTTCGGTCCAGTAGAAAAGATTGAATGGGGCCGGTGTGTGGTGAAAAAGGGTTCATCAGGACAGTTCTCTCCTTAACCTGGGAAGAAGGGTACTTGAGTTGGATCTTTAGTTGGCCCATCATAGCAATTTATGTACAAATCTTGCTTCGGGGTCAGATCATTCAAAAGTTGTCAGGTTGGGTAGGCTTTGGAAACAAAAGGCTTTGCTCTTGTTCTTTCTGCTCAACTTTGTAAAAAATAAAGAATCGGCTATAAACCTATCACCAACATACATTGCACACTTAACAATCAATTCAATCATACTGAAAAAAATTCCAATACCCCCAAAGGAGAAAGTTGCAGATAGAGTGCAAAAGAGACTTTACTTAACTGGAATGCAGGAAGCCGTTTAATTACGCTACATTCTGAAGTAACCAAAAAAGACTAAACTGCAAGAAGCCATTTAATTACACTACATTCTGAAGTAGGAGAAGCCACATCCCCATCTCCAACATCTCCTCCACAATCAGGCACATACTGGAAGCACCAAACATTTAACAATCCTTTCTTCTTTGCAAGAATTGTACAGACATTATATATGTCATTTTTCATATAGGAACAAACTAAGAGTGTGTACAAAAACATTATGCTTGCATCTAAGGATCTGCCGTCCTAAACAACCTGATGCATCATGCATATATATAGCTAAAATAATAGTGGACAGTAGCATGTCATGAATACTTACAAACAGATAAAAATGGAAACTAAGCAATCGTATGAACACACTGACTATGGAATAAAATATGAAATTCGACTAAACTAACCTTTGAGCAGCCATTGGGATCCTTAGTTTTAGAATTCAGGAACAAAAATAACCCCAGAAACACCCTGCAGAAATTTGTTTTTTTAGATGCTGCAGAAATTTGTTGAACCAATAAGCTAGAAGCAATCACAAACACTTGGGCGACAATAACTGCAACAAATTAAAAGCGGAAATCAGCATCAGCAGGAGCCCGACCAGAGTACATATATTAAGTGTCAAGGGATTGTATTGGGAAAGGGAAGTCTGCATCAAAATTGAATATGAGGGGCGACATAGTGGAGAAGCCTAGCTCTTGATGCTACTGCAGTACTGCTGGAGGAAGAAGGGAGAAGAACCTGGGTGACCGGACAGAGCATATGTAGGTACCTGACCTCCACCATCCGTCTTGAGGCGCAGCTCCACTCCATTAATGCATTAATGTTCTGTAGAAACGGCTGCTTCGCGCACTGCATCCTCATCAATCTCTGTCTATGCGTGATTAGAAACTGAAGTGTAATTTGTGTGTTTGAAGTCTGAGCGGAGCTGTTTCCAAAAGATGAGGCGCGATTACCCCCTTTCTACCTCGCTGGTGGATCTCCTGATGGCTAGATCGACCGGCCCCGGATTCTCTCGCGCCTTGGCGGGATCCCACCGCAGGTCGCCTGCATCGGTTGTATCCAGCGCCCGCTGCATCCTCTCTCCCCTGATCTATTCCTCTCTCAAGCGTTTTTTTTTCTTTTTTCATACAGAGACAAGAGCCCTATGTCCGTTCGCGATCTTGGGCTGAGCATGGAGGCCCAAACAACCACAAGCCTGCAAAAAAGTCACGGGAGTAGCTGCCCTTACGACCTGTAGCCCATTTCGAGGTAAACACGGCATCAAAGGAATGATCGAACGATCAGGATTGCCCACCAGACTAAATCAAATGGCCAAGAACGCTTAATTCGTGAGAGGGCAGGGATTAGGCTCAGTTTTACTGTTCTTAATGAGCTGGAACAACTACCACAGATGGTGACTAGAGGTTCACCGGTAGTGTAGACCACGCCTGCTCAAAAGACTTGGCTACCACCCCCGGGCAACTTGTTGAAGATCAATGTTGACGGGGCTGTGAAACGACACAGGCGAGGTGGAGCAGTGGCAGCAGTTTGCCGAGACCATATTGGGGCGTACATAGGATCGTCAGTCATGGTGTACCGGGCAGTTACTGATCCTATGATGCTAGAAACTTTTGCGTGCAGGGAAGGCCTGACCCTAGCAGATGATCTAAACATTCAAAGCCTGGTGCTGGCGTCGGACTGCAAGAGCGTCGTGAATGATATCAATTCTGGCACGGGAGGACACCACTCGGCGGTTATCCATGAGATACAAGAGCGTAGAGACAACTTTCTTCTATGTAATTGTGCACGAGCCTAGGAATCATAACTTTGAAGCTCATAATCTCGCCAAAATGGCTTGTAAGCTAGGTCTAGGACGACATGTTTGGCTGGGCAGTCCCATGATCCAAGTCGTGTACCTATAAACATCACTATTCAATGAAGTGGCGAGGTTCTCTCTCTCTCAAAAAAAGTTGGAACTCGTGCCTCCCCGCGGTACCGCGTCACGTAGGAAATCCAGAAACCCCCAGAGGAACACGCAAGTACGTACGCATCTCGATCGATCGGCACCGTCGACGCACCAGATCAAATCAATCTACACCGTCCACCACTTAACCCCATCCAAACCGCCACGAGAAGAGTCAATTCCCCACGTCGCGCTCTCCCCTCCTCGTAGCTGATCGGGACGTGCGTGCGTGCGTCGGTTCCTCCCGCAGCGGCCGGAAGGAAAGGAAACTTCCCGGATACGGCGCCCGTGGCCCGGCCGAACCTTCCGCGGTAAGGAACCGACTCCGGCCACGTCTCCTCCGTCCCGCCCGCTCCCATATAAAGCCCACCTCCCCTGGTCGACGTCCTCACAATCTGATTTCAAAAAACTCCCATCGACGTGCGAACTCGCGCCATGGCCGCCGCCGCGTTGGGTGACGTTGATGATCTCGACTTCGACCTGGGTTTTATGGACGGGCTCGAGTGCTTCGACTTCGAGTTCGACCTGCCGGACATGGGCCTCACCGAGTTGTGCCACGGCGGCGACGGCGAGTGCTTGCTGCCCGCCGTGGCCGATAAGGAGGGCGGTTTGGGTTTGGATCTGGGTTCTCGTGATGGTGGCGACGGCAGGAGAGAGAGCTCGCCGGACTCCGTGGTGACGGACGACGGCGCGCCGCCTCTGTCGTTAGAGTCGTCTGGGGATCGCGACGATGGCGAGATGTCGGCCTACGTGGGCGACCTGGAGAGGTTCCTCATGGAGAGCGAGGATGACGCCGAGGCCGGCGGGCCGTTCGCGGCCAAGGGGCTTGCCGCCAACGACCACTTGTTCGACGATCTCGCTGTTGCGGACGACGGTTACGTCGAGCCGTCCACTGCAGCGGAAGAGTTTGCCGCCGCCGGCTACTACTACTTCGGTGATCTCGACGACGGTTACGCGGAGCCGGCGACTCCAGGGAAGGATCTCGTCCTCGACGACTACTTGTTCGGCGATCCCGTTGTTGCGGGCGACGGTTACATCGAGCCGTACACTGCAGGGGAGGATCTGGTCTCCGACGACTACTTCTACGATGTTGCTGCTGTGGACGATGCTGCTCGCGAGGACGACGACGAAGCGACCTCGAGGAAGCGTGCAAGGTACGAATGAATTGAATCGAGTTTTCATTCATTCATTCATTCCGTGCTAATTGCAAATTTAGATCTTTTGTCTTCCTGGGCCATCGTAATTGGCAGAAATGGAACAAACAACATGTACATAATTGGCAGTAGATGAAGAAATTTCGTTTTACGAAAAAATTGATGTAGAAATTAACTCGAATATTGCACTATTATTACTTGGCAGTTTGATCTTTCTTTTTTCTGAAAGTGCTTGATCATCTTTGTCATGTGCGCTGCGTATATTGCACTATTATTACTTGCAGTTTACTCTGTTTCCCCTTTCTTTACATGAGAAGGATTATTTGCAACGAATTTCAACTTGATGAAACTTGTTGCTGATATTTCCGGTGCTGCCTCAGGCAGAGGAAGGGCGCCGCTGCGGTGCCACGTGAAGCAGAGCTCCGGGGAACGCCGGTGATGCATGCCATCTCGTCGATCTCGACTGGAAACGGGTGCCGCCCCATTGGTCACCATTGGCTGCATCCCTGCGCCACAGTGTGCCTATTGGCCTGATCAATCATCGATCAACCTGCAGTTCCGGTCGGTCTGGGAGAAAGATCGCGACGGCGCATGCCTCAGGTATTCGAACCGGTAGGTGAAAATTTCAGAGGAACATTTCCCCGTGTTCTTCTATGATATTTTCTGCCTTTCACACCAACCCGGCCATTGGACGATTATAAAGTCATGGGACGAACTATAAACAACACATACTCCTCTGTTCGGAGTAGAAAAGTTTGGTAGCAACTCTCGAACAACACGTTTTCAAAAAGAAAAGTAAGCTTAGTTTTATAATGTACACCTAATATTCCTCTTCTTGTACACATACATCCCGTGCGCATTCCGGATGTTGGTAGCATAATTCGTTGAGTATCTGCCTGGTACAGCCATTTCATCACCAGTGCTAATCAACCATGCAAACATGTTTGATCCTTAGTAGTTTCTACCACTACCAGTAAAGAGCTTAGTGGTTGATATACATTTAGAAGTACAAGAAACCTTCTACCAGGTAGAGCATGTCAGATTTTTGTTCTCGACCGTCCAGAATTTTTTTTCTCTGAAAATCCAGTGAGCACCACAAATCGTCCAGGCTTGCGTTCATTCAGTATGGGCCGCTTATAATCTTGCTCGTACTGCTACCAGTTAAGGCTTACTGATTGTTGTACGTTTAGAATTAAAAGAAACTGCAAAATACAACACTGGTGCTTGAACTTGTCACGAATGTGCACTTTAGTGCCTGAACTTGCAAAATACATTGAACTGGTTTCACAACTTAGCATGGACGTGCATATACAGTTCAAATCTTGTTTTTATACGTCCATGGCGCTGACGAGGCACGCCAGGATGTAAGAGAAAAGGCATGTGGCCTGTTTTTTTGCAGAAAACCCTCTAGAATATTTTTTTCTTACAAAAGGCCCTCAAAGAGAAACTGATAAATTAAAAAAATCTATTAATATATTAATAATTAAAACTGGTCCGGGTTTTGAACCACACGCGCAGGTGTGCATGGTTAGCCAATAAGCAATACACTTTATAAACTTTGTAAACATTTATAAACATATTATAAACATAAACATATTATAAACTTTATAAACATATTTATAAGCAATACCCATTCAAATTTAGTGTCAAGAATGGATTCATACACTTTATAAACATAAAGCTGAACAACATAAATTAAAAAAATTATTCCAACAATACACTGTCATTGGTTTGAACCTGCAACCAGGGGCTATATGGCCGCACATTCCACTCCAACTGGTGACATCGAATGGTAAAACGATAAATTTAGGTTTATAACATAACGAGCCCGTGTGGCTAAAATGGACCACAGTGTGGCTCAGTTTTCAACGGGTTTGTTCTTTTTCATTACATTTTTCTAAAAATTACTTAAATTATTATCACGTTACAAAAAATATACATATATTTAAAACAAATTACGTTAAAATTTCATATCATTTCATAAAATACCCATGCAGTAATTTAACAGAAATACACATAATAAAATTAAAAATTAAGAATATAATTTATAATTTGAAAGAATGTTCGCATTTTAATAAAAAATAAAAGTAATTTTATAAATGTTCATATATTTAAACAAATTCTCATATAATTTTAAAATTTCACATTTTTAACAAACTATTTTTGTAGTATATCAACGTGTTCATGCTTTAAAAAAATTGTGTTGTTTTAATAAGTTTATATAGTACTCCCTCCGTCCCAAAATAAGCCCAGTGCTAAGCTTCAAACACCTATTTTGAGACGGAGTGAGTATATAAGTTTGTGTGTTTTCTAAAAAAATACAAGCCCAGTGCGCCATTAGACTATGGATCCTCACATGAATAATACTTGAATCATATAAACATTTTAGTCATTCATAAATATTTTCAATTTTATGAATATGTTTTGAAATAACACGTGAATTATTTTTAAAGTGACATGAAGATTTTTTTCATTATTTTGAAATTATGTTTGTTATACAGTCATAAAGAGTACTTGTACTTTTGATACATGACAACTCAATGGTTGGAGTGGCATCCGTGCCTATAAGCTTTGGTCCGATGTTCGGGTCACAGATCCGATGGCGTTTTTCCTGGATTATTAAATTCTCTTTACTTATTTTGTTCGGCCAAATGTTTATAAAGGTTATGAATCATCAAAGTTGTCGAGTGGCTAGCCGCATGCACTCTGACTGGTACGTCGCTTGTTCGATCCAGCACACCAATTTTATTTTTTATCTTATAATTATACTCTAGTTTTTATTTTATTATTTATTGATTTCTCCCTGAGGGCCTTATGGTAAGAAAATAACTTCAGTTTTTTTTTCCAAAAAACAGGCCACACACCCTTGTCACTGATAGCGGGCCCCATGGCATGCTGGCCCACCTCCTTAGCTTCACGGACATATACAAAAACCATTTGAACCGTATATGCATGTCTATGCCAAGTTATGGAACCAATTCAATGTATTTTGCAAGTTCAGGCACTAAAGTGCACATCCATGGCAAGTTCAAACACCATTGGTGTATTTACCTCTTTTAGTTGGTAGAGGCATGACAATCTTTTGCTTTCTACGCACCGTCGACAGTCCAGCCCCCTTTTCTCTGAAAAAAAATGCCGTAAGCACCTTCAATCGTCCAGGCTTGTGTTTGTTCAATTTCTTTGGGTAGACAAAAGCTTCAATGGTTCTGGCCCTGTGCAGTCCAATCATGGAAAAAATTGGAAGCGACTATGGTCAGCTGCAGCAACGATCGTTTTTTCCCACTAATTACGAAGGCTGTTTTGTGGTGAAACAGTAGAACACAGTTTCCTGTATTGTCAGTTTACAAAGGAAAATTGGAAGGTATGGACAATGAAAACAAGGTTCCTGCATTGTCAGTTTCCTTCAGAATTAAGCAGTGGCTGTGGCTGTGGCTGTTACAATCCTATGGACTCTGTGGTGTGAGTGTGGCACATTTGAAAGTAGAGATGAAAGCATATATCTGCATATGTTGAATGATCACAACACTCTTTGAAGCCTAGATCTTCTATCTATCAGGTTTGAGATACCATCCTCTGTTCCAGTGTGCATGGACTCCGCCATATCTGGAATTTTTTCGCCTTCACATTGTCCGTTCAATGAGTGCCGCGATTCATGCTGAAATCTTTCTAGCAAGTGACTCGCTTGTTTCAGGCTGCCCCACTCTCCGCCCAGTTTATATCTTTTATTCCAGGTTTCTTTATCTTCTCCTTAAAAAAAATCTTTTCACCCACCTATCTTTCCCAATTCGGGGTTCAGTAGTAAACAATTGTGTTTATTTCCAGCTTTTTTCTCTAAATTACTTGTATAAGCTACTAGATTTTGCAGCTGTATTGTTCAAGAGTTCTAGTGTTTTATTTATATGTTTTTTTTGGGATGTTGTACTGGAAGTATTGTGGTGAGCAATGAAAACTTTATTTTTGTGTTGTCACTGCATTACCGTTTCAACTAGTAAAATGTTTTCATGTGACATGTTTGCATTCTTGGTTTCTGGCGTTTACCTCATACAAAATCTTTAATGTACAAGCTCGGTGAATGAATATAACCACCACAAATTGTTTAGTTTTAGAGAAATCAAAATATATTTTACTTGGATTAAAAAAAGGATCTTCTTATGTAACAGCTAATTAGCAAACCATTATGCAATAATATTTTGCATAAAGTAACTTTGCTAAATGCTGTAGTAATTGCATGTATTAACAATTTTTTCATCGTGATTACTTTTAGTTAACCATATTCCACTATGCTTGCTAATTCTCCAAAACGGTATTTAATTGCTCTTAGTTTTCTTTTTATGTTGGTTATCCATGGCTCATTATTTTAGAGTCATGTCTTTAAATTGGTCTTTTTGAATAATTAAATTTTTGTTATGGTCACATTGATTTTCTCTAAACTTTCCTTCTTAATAGACTTCTGTTCTGCGTTTGTACATCTATGTTCAAGTTGTGGTGCGATGGAATCAATTAGGCGTGGTATCGTAACTCTGAAAGGCCGTCTGGTTTTTGTTTAGATCACTAAACCAACAAATTGCATATGAAGTGTTGCTTGATCCATGTTTCACATGGATCAAGGATTCATTTAAATTGACTAGAATAAGATGGCGTGTTATTTTATATGAAACTTGGCATGATCATATTGTGATTGCATTTTGCCATTGTTTGTTTATTGAATGCTTGTTCCTTTTCTTGTGGGTAGTACCGAGAGACGAGACCAAATACGAGGATCATGGTGATCCTATTTAAAACGTTTACGATGAGCAGAGTTTTGATCCCACCGAGGACATTTCAGGCAAGATGATAATTATCTTGGATATATCACTACTATCTTTGCTTGCCTCGTTTTTATCGCTATATCACGTTACCTACTACTTGTCTACCAGCCTCCTAATTTGACATATAAGCTGGTTGGTGTGTAGAGTAATGATATCTTCGAACAATGTTAACCTGATTTGATCAAGATATGCTGAGCAAAAC